CAGCCCAGGCAAAGTCAGAACATCTGGGATGGTTTTCCTCGGAGACCCTAATGTTCCCCAGCATTCTTCCAGGTTATGCATGCCTGGAAAACACGTGCGTGGGAACACACACACACACACACACACATTCACACTGCGGCCTCCTGGAGAAAAGGGATTAATTCAGACAAGACCACATGTGCTGGGGCTGGGGATGTGGCTCAAGCGGTAGCCCGCTTGCCTGGCATGCGTGCGGCCCGGGTTCGATCCTCAGCACCACATACAAACAAAGATGTTGTGTCCGCCAAGAACTAAAAAATAAATATTAAAAAATTCTTAAAAAAAAAAAAAGACCATATGTGCTGTTGGGATGCAGCCTAGACTAGAGGTGGCGTGGGAGCTTTCAGAGTTAGGCCAGGTTTGAACCCCACATCTAACTGTGTGCTCTTGGGAAGCTCATTTAACCTCACAGAGCCTCCATTCCTCATGTATCAAAGAAGCGTAGAACATCTACCTTGCAGGGACTCAGGAAATGTCCATAGAATGCCCCAAGGGATGGCTCAAGTCCTTAAGAGAATTCCTCCCTGTGCAGCGTGCAGGCCCGTAATCACAGCTGCTCAGAGGCTGTGGCAGGAGGATTGCCAGTTCAAAGCCAGCCTCAGCAACTTAGCAAGGCCCTGTCTCAAAAAGTAAAAAGGGCTGGGCATGTGGCTCATGGATTAAGTACCCCTGGATTCACTCCCTGGTACCAAAAAAAAAAAAAAAAAAAGAATTCCCGTGTCTCACACTCACATCAGCTGTAGAAACAAAGCCACCCCCAAAGAAGAAGTCAGGCAATGGTGGTGGCCCTCTCTCAATTCTCCCCTTGTGCCTCTGTCTGTCTTTGTAGCCCACCAACAGCTATCTCATCCACATCCAACAAGCCAGCCTCCACCCAGAGGTGGCCAAGGGAGACGCTTGTGATTTTTATTGTCACCACCAACCACCACCCCTCCTGTTAACATCCCAGGCCTCCTCTGGGGGGATGCCTGGCTGCATAGCTTCAGGGCCTGAAGTCAAATGGACGAGTCTGACCTTCACTGGAGGTCCCAGAACTAAGCATGGCTCATCGCTCTCTCCCTCCTCGCTGGAATTGTTAAATAAGTGACATCCCAACATGGGGACGCTTGTGGCCACACGTGTCCAGCCGTGGCCCAGATGATTGCCATTTCCATTCCTGTCGGAACAGTGTTCTCGCTGCCTGGCCTTTAGACTCTGTGCTTACTGTTGTAAACTAGGACATTCCCCCTGTGTTGTTCTGAAAGATGGCCTCTCCACTGATCCCAGCAACAGCTGCAACAGCAGCACTGCCCGATACAACCAGATTCGGGGACGGAAGACAGAAAAGGGGGTTCACCCTATGTAAAAAGCTTTCTCTCTTACTATGACCAACCTCTGGGGCTTTGGGGAGAGATGAGACGCATCACTAAACAGGACATGGCAGTCAGGTTGAAATCGTGCACCTCCATGAGAGAGAGAGGAATTGGGATGTTTTTCAGTTTGCAAATTTGTCATCAAAGGGAGCCAGAGGACGGAGGGGCAGGAGAGAATGGTAAATATCAGTGTATCCAACTATCAACCCAAACACACCCTCTTGATGGGTGTTTGGTAGAACTCAGAAGTATTTCAGTTTTCAGGGTGCGGAGAAGCATCATCTCTTTCTCTCTTGACCGTCTCTCTCTGCACCTTGGCTGTGGCAAAGCTGCCTCGGAGCAGTTTACAAGTTATCCGAATGTCATCCTACTTAACATGTCCCGTGGTCTGCTGGCTGATGGTAGTTTAAGCAGGATCTAATTGGTAACATATTGTCGATTGAATTAAGTGCCATATGACAGAGATTTAAACCAGGGTAATTTTTCCATAAAGAAAAATCTGTCAACAGACTACGGCAGAGGAACAGCAATAAATCAAATTGTCATGTTTATTAGTTATTGCCAGAGTCTTGTTGTCTTGTATTCATTAAACACCCCCATTTTTAGCACAGATAAAAGCTATAAAGAGGGATATTTGTGCAAGATGCTTTTTAATAGGTTTATATTTGTGCACAAACACCTGCTTCTATTTTAATCAGGAGAAAAATGGTGCTATTTCACTTTCAAAGGAATGCGCGCTTGGATTGTTTTCTGGATGAGGGATAATGTTTTTAGCTATTTCCAAAGCTATGTTTTAAAACTCTCAGAATCAACTCACTAATAAAGACAAGAATTAAAAAAAAAAAATGAGAGAACACCATTTGCTTCTCAGATTTGCAAAACTTTTGAAAACAGACAGGGATGGAAGAGCAGTCATCACAGTCTGATTTGAAATGTCTAAAACTCAGGAAGAAAGCAAATTTTCTTCTACGAGAATGGCTTAACAAATTACGGATTGTCCGCACCAGAGAGCGCAAAGGAGCTATTTGAAAGAACAAATAAGGTCACGCTTAGTAGTCTGTCATTAAGAACCAACGTCCTTTGTAACTTTTCCTGTCCTTTTAATTTACCTTTCCTGAAAGTAGCCCCCCAAGTTTTTTTCCTTGTGATAAATCAGAGATGATATAGCAGCATTTGATATGTGAAGCCTTATTGGACTCTCCTAAAACACCATGCAGAAGAGGTTATACCCACTGGACAGATAAAGAAACTGAAGTGCAGAAAATAAAAGTATGACCCCAGGGTTCCTGTAGCTGTCAACCTCGGGAGAAAGATATCAGGAAGGCCTCTGAACGGTGGTGTAGAAATAAAGGTTTATAAGCCACATTTTATTAATTTGATTATTTTTGCAGTTCTGGGGGTCAAGCCAAGGGCCTTGTGCATGCTGGAGCCATATTCTACCACTGAGCTACACCCCCAGCTCAAATGAAGGATCCGTAGATTGGAGCCCAGCCCTCAGCTCCATACCATCGTTTCTTGTCATTGTAACTTTGAACTCGTTTCTTGAATTCTTTGGGACTTGGTTTCCTCATCCGTCATGTTTCATTACTGCTTGATTCATTTTCTAGTGGAAAGGTGTGGGGGCTCAGAGCACAGGATCTGGAAGGATTCAGATCCCCATGATGCCATCTCCGAGCTCTGCACCCACAGGACATCGACCGACCTTCTCTCTAGGACAGGCACAATCGCAATGGCTCCATGCAATTAAATGATAGGGTGCAGGTGAAACACTTTACACTGCACTTCATCCTCGAGAGGTAAACCCCTCGTTAGGTTCTGTCCTTAGGACGCTGTGGTCATATGGGTGCCTTCTCTAGGTTCCTGAGCACCTGGGCATGAAAAATACGCCTGAGCACCTGTACTCAAGCCCAGAGCTCTGTGCTCGCTCCTCCCAGGTGGACCTCATAAAGAGGGGCTTCCTGGCTCCCTTCTCAGCCTCCTGTTCACTAGCTCCCTGCAGCTAAGGGCTACAGTATCGTGGCTCTGGCCTTGAGTTCCCCCTAAACCCATTCTGCACGCCTCACCTCCCCCTTCCCACCTTTCCCAACCTCCTACCATTTTCCTTCAAGTCTCTTGGTTTAATTGCATGAAAGGTGCTCCTGCGGCTGCTCCTGATAGCTGTTGAGCCTTATTGGGTCCTTTCAATGGGCCAGGCGCTCTTCTGAGCACTTTGCCCGTATGAATGCAATTAGCCCTTGTTGGAGAGGTACACATTTATTGTACCCATTTCACAGAGGCAAGAATTCTGATGCGGAGAGGCATGGGGACTCGCCTAAAGCCATCCTGTTAGAGTTGGGATTTGAGTCTAGCAAATAAGAAATGCATTTTTTTTTTCCATTTTCAAAAGGCAGATTACATAAAAACATGCCTGATACAAACAAACAGTAACTGCAGGTAACACCCAAGGGAGCGGCCGTTGCCAGGAGCAAAAGCAAAACCCTGAGAATGTTGTTTGTGTGACTTTCACTGCCAGCATCTCTCCCTGGGCGACCTCCACAGCCCTAAGAGAAGGAAGGTGCCTGTGGTTCCAAGAATTCCTAAAGTTAGCCTAAGGAACGTTTGCTGCTTTTGACAAAAGCTGAGACAATAATTTTTTTAAACTGAAAGAATGGGTTTACCCACACCTTGTCAATGTGGACGTTCGGTTTTTAGCTGTTCTTATTGCAATGTCCGGCTTCCCACTACCTGAACCAACCCTGTCTCCCAGGATTTCCATCCCAGCTTTGGATAAAAGGGATTGTGAAATGCATATCTAAGCACGATTGCACTTTTACAATTGTAAGACTTGAATGACAAAATTCAAGTTACATATAGAAAAAAATTATATATAGAAAAAAAAATCCTTTGTCATTCTATTAGTCTTCTTTGGTTTCAAAAGTAGGGTCATTGTGCCATTTTATATCATGATATTCACATACCTTGTGTGTCTATACGTGCTGTGTGGATGTATATATGTCTGAGTGTGTGGCACGTGTGTGTAACACACGCACATATGCTGTGGGTAAGTAGATGATGTGTGTGTGTGCGCGCACACACACACACACACACCATGTGCTGTCCAAGTAACAAGAGCGATAGCTCCACCAGCCCCTGTGGTGAGAGGCTCCCACGTTCTGAGCCACATCTGCAGGAGCCGTGGTGACCTAGGCAACACACCACCCTCTCCCCTTCCTGTAACCAGGCCTTTCTGAGATCACTGAGGCCATTTGTAGGTCCAGCCTGCAGTCACACCATGAGTTCTTTTTTTGAGGTACAGCTAATGGCCTCCGTGAGGTTCAGACACACTTTCCCTAGGGGCCAAGGGCCCAGCCAGCGTCACCAATATACATCGGAGCACATTTGCACCCGGGCTGTGTTTTCCTTGCATGTGGATCCTGTGACCTTCCTCGGTCACTCTCCACCTGGGTCATCTCAGCCTGCTCAGCCGTTCACCCAGGGCTGATGTCCCTGTGGAGCACTTGGGAATGCTCCCTGCTGCCCAGGCCTGGCTCCCGAGAGTCCCACCTTGCAGGGCCTGGAGGGCACCCATGGCGGCCCAGAGGGGCCACACGCTCTCCTGCCCCACCTTACCTCTGAGCTCTCACAAGCCTTTTCTTTCTGTCCCAAACAAATGGCTGCTCTTCTTGCTTCTGGGCGGCGTGGCGCTCGCTCCTTGCTGCAGCGTCTGAGTGGCACTTTCTGTACAAACAGGAAGAGTGTGTGTGGTCACCACCCGAGCGTGCAGGTGTCGATAGAGGATGTGAGAGTGTGGAGGCCAACGACGCACCAGGCCCCCAAGCGGCCTCCCTCCCCTGCAGCAGGCCCGGGTCGACCAGAAGCTGGAAGCAGAGCCTGGGGTTGCTCCCTGGGGACACCTGACGAAAGACGGAGCAAGGCGGCCGTGGGGCCCAGGGGCGGGCTGGGATTCCTTAACGACACCCTTATCATCAGGTGGCTGCCAACTCGGCACAGCCCTCTGGATCCCCAAATTGTCGGGACACCCAGGAGACCAGGACCAAAGGCTCCTCCTGCTCCTCGATGGGCCAGAGGTTTTCTAGAACTTTCTAGGAAAGGAGAAAAACGCTAGTGAGGGAATCCAATGCCCCAAGGCCGCTGTCCTTGAAGGGCTTCCACCTCACAGCGCCCACTCCCGAGTCAGCCCGCACCTCCCCCCACTCCTCCTCTGCAGTCCGGGGGTTACCCAAGCCCAAGTCCCCCTACGCCCGCGGCTCTGCTGTTCTCTCGGCATGTCCCCCAGCACCTGGGGTTCCACCACACTTTGATGTCCCTGTCTGTGGGTCACCTGCGCTGTCCCCTACCTGGCCTGGGGACTCCCTGCAGGCTCCTCCCCCCTCGCCCTTTCCTCCCCCCCCCACCCCGCCCTTTCCTCCCCCTCCCCCCCACCCCGCCTTCTGCTCCTGGGCTCCTTCAGCCTTCCCAGGAAATCCGTTTCACGTGGGCATGTCCATCCCAGTCCTAATCTAGATCTCCTTCTGGACATAACTAGAAACTTCTCCACCCAGTTCTACACCCACCACAGGGAGGTGACCCCGGGATTGGCCACACCGGGTCCCGAAGAGGGGAAAGCCCTGTCTCCTACACCCAAACCAGAGGGGGAGCCGCCTGGCTCCTGGGTTTCTGGAAGGCGCTCACCCTTCCATCGCCAAACCCTGTCAGTCCTACCTCTGAAACTCCTTTCCCTCCTCCTCCTTCCAAGGGTCAGACCTCCCCAGCAGCGCCCCTCACCCGGGCCTGAGCCCCAAAGGCCAAGGGTGCCCAGGGTGTGCAGGGCAAGTCCCGAGGTGTGGGGAGAAAAGGTTTGAGTTCCTCTGAACCACACTTATTTTTGTTGTTGTTTGCATTTTATTGGGGTGATAGTCACATCCTATAAAATGAGCCGTTTTCAAGTGTACAGTCCTGTGGCACTGAGTACTCTCCCTGTACGACCGTGTCCTCCACCTACTTCCAAGACTCAGTTTTCAGGTTTCTGTTGGTACTGGAGATTGAATAGTTGCTGAGGCTGTCTTTGAACTCGTGATCCTCTCGTCTCAGCCTCCCCAGCCGCTGGGATCACAGGTGTGTGCCACCACGCCTGGCTTCAGGTTTATTTATTTATTTATTTGGGTACTGGGGATTGAACACCAGGACACTCAACCACAACCCCAGCCCTATTTTGTATTTTATTTAGAGCCAGGGTCTCACTGAGTTGCTTAGGGCCTCGCTTTTGCTGAGGCTGGCTTTGAACCAACGTTCCTCCGGCCTCAGCCTCCCGAGCAGCTGGGATCACAGACACGGGCCACCATGCCTGGCTTTCACGCTTGTTTTTACGTCATCTTTTCAGTGTTTACTTTCTGTGTACATTAACGCACATCAAGGGCACGCGCAGTTGTGTGGTACGGCATCTGTCAGTACTCATGCATCTGCTGAGAATGTGTTATAAAGACTTTTATTTTTTTACTGAAGAGGGAACAGGAGCAGAAATGTGACCTCCACCTGCTCTCACTTGACAAGCTGCAGAGTGTTTTCCAAACTGCCCCCAGATTATCTTTGTACAAGAGTACAGGCAGGACAGCGGTACAGACCCCGACCCCACTCCCAGGTCCTGACCCTTCAGCGGCTCCCTCTCACCCAGGTTCCATGGCTGGTCAGAGGGGGCACTGTGCGCTGGCCCCAGGCCTCTCCCCAGCCTCTGTCCACTGTCCCTACCGCGTCCTCCCCGGGCCCCACAACACCTGGTTCTCCCAAGTGCAGGCTCAGCCTGGACAGTGCCCAGTGCTCCCTTGGGGAGGACTCTGGGTCCATCGGCTACATGGCAGATACCATGATGTTGGAAATCCTTCCCTGTTGACCCTCCCTGAGCGGGATTCATCCCCTGTGTGGGCTTTCCCTGAAGCCATCGCCATGTTGGGTGGCGCTGCAGGTGACTTGGTGGGGAGGAGGGTGGGGTTCGCCATTAAAAGGACCTGGGTTTGAATCCTGGGTTTGAGTGGTTCTGGGACCTGTAAGAAAGAGGTGGAGCCTGATGGGAAACGATTAGGGACAGACGCCGCCCTTGGGAGAGAATAATTCTGTCTTCTGGGACTGAATCGGTTGCTGTGAGAGCAAGTTGTTATATAGCTGGTTTGGTTTTTCCCAGACTAGCTCTCTTTCCCTCTCCATTTTCTCTGTCTCTCTCTCTCATGAGCATGAACTCCTACCATGGAATGCTATCTCCCAGTCAGGACCTCATCAGAAGATGACACCAGTGGCTTTGCTCTTCAATCTCCAGAACCAGGAGCTAAATGAACTTTTTTTTCTTTATAAAGTTTCTCGCCTCAGGAATTTTGTTATGGCAACACAAAAACGATGAATCCCCATCCTTGCCATTGAGTGGCTTCAGAAACCAAATGACATGGTGTGTGTACAGAATGTAGCCCGTGTTCAGAAAGTGGCAGGGATTAACATGAATATTTATTTGCTTATGTTACTGTTCTGTAAACTTCTTGTAGAATTCATACATTTTATACCCAGGAGAGCTACCCCCAGTAAGGCAGAATGTCTTCATCACAAAAAAAAAAAGTGTGAATTATTTAGTGTTCAATTGTAACAAAGTGCAGACAATGCATGCTCTGTCACCATGCCCGTCAATGTCCCTTCTGCTCGCCGCCCCACCCGCCACATTCAACGATAATCACTGATAGACTTGTGACTCTTCTCCTGAGACTGCGGGCCCTGTGGGGCGGGGAGGCTCTGCTCTGCCCGGCCTATCTCTGCAGGTCCCTGGCACCTAGTGGACCCTCGATGACTATGGGTTGAGCAAATCAAAGAATGAGGAGGTTATTAGACTGCAGTTGGGTAAAGCTGATTTTGAGCCGGAATTCTGCCACATCGTCACTGTGTGACCTGAAGTCATTTGAAACATTCCTGAGCTTCAGTTTCCAAATCTGTAAGGGGGGGAAGCACAATATCCACCCTCCCATGGGACAGGGTTGTCACCAAACCAGGTTGCCCTTGCAAAATTTAATCATTTTGCATAATAATATCATTTAAAAAAAAATGATGTCCCTGAGCACCGTTGCGGCTGGGTGAGATTCGTGATGTTCGGGAATTCCAGAAGAAGGCTGGACTTGCTCCGTGTCCTGAGCAGGCCCTCTTCCCAGCATGCCCTGCTTCTCCAGCATTGAGAGTCGGCTCCACCTTTGCGCCAGCCAGGGCTGTCTGTGGCTGCTGTGCCTCTGTCACCGTGTGCTGTGGTTTGGGTGTGCATCCCCCAAAGCCCATGAGGTAGAGGTTTGCTCTCTGGCCTGTGGTGCCACTGGCAGGTGGCAGAGCCTGCAGGAGGTGGAGCCTGGTGACAGGAAATTGGGTCAATGGGAGCATGCCCTCGGAGGACCCTGATCCTCCTCCCTTCCTTTCTTTTCCTTTACTTCCTGGATGCCATGAGGTGAGCAGCTCTCTGCCACCACACCATGCTATGCTTTGCTACAGGCCCAAAAGCCATGGGCCAACTGACTGTAGGCTGAAACTGAATAATAAAAGAAAACAACTTTTTTTCCTTCTAAGTTGATTCTTCTCAGGTGTTTTGTCACAGTGTTGGAAAACTGACTAACACAATGTACAAATTTCCCTCAGCTTCTCTAGACAAGAGAAGTGCATCTTGCCACCATATTGTACCCTGTGGTAGTGAATGAAACCACAGAGAACACAGCCTGATTTGTCTGACAGGACCTTGGAAACAAGCCCACCTTGGCCACACTTGCTGGGCACGAGGGCACCAAGAGCATGTGGGGCTGTGTGAGTTTTTTTGTGAAGCTGGGAAGGGACACAGACATGTGCATGGGAATCTCAGCTGGGCAAAGGGAACAGCAAAGATGGGCGTGGGCCAAAAGGCTGGTTAGTGCCGACTGGGGCCATTTACCATCATTTCCAACCAGGCTGGGTATAGATGGCCTAGTCTGTTCAGGTGTGAGGATAGGTAAGAAGGACAAGTACCGAGGGAGGAAGCCCCACTGGTTTGTCACCAGGGAGTCTGTGCAGGGCCAGGGATGCACACCTGCAAGCCTTCTCCATCCTCGAATCCCACTGAGGACTCCATTGTCACAGCCAGGAGTGAGGCTGGTACCCAGCAGGTGCCGGGGGTTTTGTCTGGGTGAATAAGGGATCTAATCTAACCAGCGTCCGTTATCTGTATATCTGTGTCTGTTTGTTCTGTGTGATAGTAAAAATAGCTGACATCTACCGAAGCTTGTCATGGGTCGAGAAGCACTTTACCTGGACTAATTTATCAAAACCACATGACGACCTTGAGGTCAGTGGATTTGTATTCTCATTTCCTCATTGGAGAAAATGAGGCCCAGAAGTTCAAGAAATTGCCCAAGTCAGACAGATAATTAATGGTAGACCTGGGGTTCAAATATAGGTGTTATTGTTCCAGAGCATATAGGCTTAATCTCTCTCTCTCTCTCTCCACACACACACACACACACACACACACACAATCCTATTCACATACACCTGTACGCCTGCACAGACAGGTATACACATTGTGTTTATATTTGTATGTATGTCTATATGCATGTTTATGTGTATTCCTGGCATGACTGTCTCACACGGAATTTCCCTTAGATTTCTCCGCCTTTCTATAAATAATCCCAGACTTATAAATGTATATAAAGTAAGGTCACCTCATGT